CAACCTGGAAGAAATGGACAAATTCCTAAACACTAACAGACTTCCAAAACTCAAACTGGAAGAAATGGAAAGTTTGAACAGACCCATAACCAGCGAAGAAATTGAATCAGTTATGAACAACCTCCCAACAAATAAGAGTCCAGGACCAGATGGCTTCCCAGGGGAATTCTACCAGACATTTAAAGCAGAAATAATACCTATCCTTCTCAAGCTGTTCCAAAAAATAGAAAGGAAAGTAAAACTTCCAGATTCATTCTATGAAGCCAGTATTACTTTGATTCCTAAACCAGACAGAGACCCAGCAATAAAAGAGAACCACAGGCCAATATCCCTGATGAATATGGATGCACAAATTCTCAACAAGATACTAGCAAATCGAATTCAACGGCATATAAAAAGAATTATTCACCATGATCAAGTGGGATTAATTCTTGGGCTACAGGGCTGGTTTAACATTTGCAAATCAATCAATGTGATACATCACATTAGAAAGAGAAAAATATGAACCATATGATCCTGTCAATCGATGCAGAGGAACCATTTGACAAAATTCAGCATCCTTTCTTAATAAAAACCCTCGAGAAAATAGGGATGGAAGGAACATACTTAAACATCATAAAAGCCATTTATGAAAATCCCACAGCTAATATCATCCTCAATGGGGAAAAACGGAGAGCTTTCCCCCTGAGATCAGGAACACGACAGAGATGTCGACTCACATCGCTGTTGTTTAACATAGTGGTGGAAGTACTAGCATCAGCAATCAGACAACAAAAGGAAATCAAAGGCATCAAAATTGGCAAAGATGAATTTAAGCTTTCACTTTTTGCAGATGACATGATATTATACATGGAAATTCCGACAGACTCCACCAAAAGTCTGCTAGAACTGATACATGAATTCAGCAAAGTTGCAGGATACAAAACCAATGTACAGAAATTAGTTGCATTCTTATACACTAATAATTAAGCAACAGAAAGACAAATAAAGAAACTGATCCCATTCACAATTGCACCAAGAAGCATAAAATACCTAAGAATAAACCTAACCAAAGATGTAAAATATCTGTATGCTGAAAACTATAGAAAGCTTATGAAGGAAATTGAAGAAGATATAAAGAAATGGAAAAACATTCCCTGCTCATGGATTGGAAGAATAAATATTGTTAAAATGTTAATACTTCCCAAAGCTATCTACACATTCAATGCAATCCCAATCAAAATTGCACCAGCATTCTTCTCGAAGCTAGAACAAGCAATACTAAAATTTGTATAGAACCACAAAAGGCCCCGAATAGCAAAAATAATTTTGAAGAAGAAGACCAAAGCAGGAAGCATCCCAATCCCAGACTTTAGCCTCTACTACAAAGCTGTCATCATCAAGACAGCATGGTATAGGCACAAAAACTGACACACAGAACAATGGAATAGAATAGAAACCCCAGAACTAGACCCACAAACGTATGGCCAACTCATCTTTGACAAAGCAGGAAAGAACATCCAATGGAAAAAAAGACAGTCTCTTTAACAAATGGTGCTGGGAAAACTGGACAGAAACATGCAGAAGGATGAAACTAGACCACTTTCTCACACCATTCACAAAAACCAACTCAAAATGGATAAAGGACCTGAATGTGTGACAGGAAGCCATCAAAACCCTAGAGAAGAAAGCAGGAAAAAACCTCTCTGACCTCAGCTGCAACAATTTCTTACTTGACACATCCCCAAAGGCAAGGGAAATAAAAGCAAAAATGAACTATTGGCACCTTATGAAGATAAAAAGCTTCTGCACTGCAAGGGAAACAATCAACAAAACTAAAAGGCAACCAGCAGAATGGGAAAAGATATTTGCAAATGACATATTGGACAAAGGGCTAGTATCCAAAATCTATAAAGAGCTCACCAAACCCCACACCTGAACAACAAATAACCCAGTGAAGAAATGGGCAGAAAACATGAATAGACACTTCTCTACAGAAGACATCCAGATGGTCAACAGGCACATGAAAAGATGCTGAACATCGCTTCTCACCAAGGAAAAACAAATCAAAACCACACTCAGATATCACCTCACGCCAGTCAGTGTGGCTTAAATGAACAAATAAGGAGACTATGGATGCTGGAGATGATTTGGAGAAAAAAGAACCCTCTTGCACTGTTGGTGGGAATGCAAACTGGTGCAGCCGCTCTGTAAAACAATGTGGAGGTTCCTCAAAAAACTAAAAAGAGATCTACCCTATGACCTAGCAATACCACTGCTAGGAATTTACCCAAGGGATACAGGAGTGCTGATGCATAGGGGCACTTGTACCCCAATGTTTATGGCAGCACTCTCAACAATAGCTAAATTATGGAAAGAGCCTAAAAGTCCATGAACTGATGAATGGATAAAGAAATTGTGGTTTTTAAAAAAATTTTTTTTTCAACGTTTATTTATTTTTGGGACAGAGAGAGACAGAGCATGAACGGGGGAGGGGCAGAGAGAGAGGGAGACACAGAATTGGAAACAGGCTCCAGGCTCCGAGCCATCAGCCCAGAGCCTGACTCAGGGCTCGAACTCACGGACCGCGAGATCGTGACCTGGCTGAAGTCGGACGCTTAACCGACTGCGCCACCCAGGCGCCGCAAGAAATTGTGGTTTATATACACAATGGAATACTACGTGGCAATGTAAAAGAATGAAATATGGTCTTTTGTAGCAACGTGGATGTAACTGGAGAGTGTCATGCTAAGTGCAATAAGTCATACAGAGACAGACAGATACCGTATGTTTTCACTCTTATGTGGATCCTGAGAAAGTTAACAATAGCCCATGGGGGAGGGGAGAAAAAAAAGAAGTTAGGGAGAGAGCCAAAGCATAAGAGACTCTTAAAAACTGAGGGTTGATGGAGGGTGGGAGGGAGTAGAGGGTGGGTAATGGGTATTGAGGAGGGCAGCTTTTGGGATGAGCACTGGGTGTTGTATGGAAACCAATTTGACAATAAATTTTGTATCAAAAAAATAAAATGAATAAAATTAAAATAAATAAAAAATAAATATCTATTTCAGCATTACTTTCACAGTTGGCAGTTATTTTTTAAAAGAAATGCAGAAATATCATATGTATAGCTCTAAACATTGGAATTGTTCCTTGGGAAACTGCATTTGTGACACACAAACTGGCTGACTAGAAAATACATATATTTAATTAATAATACTAGTAGTTTCAATCACTTTGTATGTAGAAATATAACAAATTATAAAAAAAAAACTGCAAAGAAATGGGATTTTGGAGTCAGAGGAATTTTGGAGAATCTAGTTCCTAAATTTTACAGATGAGAAAACTGAGGCAGTTCTTTATTGGATCCAAAACTAGTACTCTATTTTCCTAGCTTCTAATCAGTTTTTTTTTTCTACTACACCACACAGTACACTTGTGTTATGGCTGAGATCCAAACTCAATCCCTTCCCTGTTTTTCTAATGTTTGAAAGGTCATTGCAATCAAATCCCTGATTTATTTACTCTATAATAATTAGGATATGAGATTTATTTCAAAATATACCCTACAGGTTAGCTAATGTTAAGACAATTAGATTTTATCATTAGCAGATATTAAATATAAGCAATTCCTTTGGAATTAAATTGTTTTCTATTTCATATGGCAGCTTAAAAGCTTCAGGGCCCTATAAGCCACATGCAGAAAACCTTTGGAGTTTTGTTTTAAAACTCAAAAATTTTTTTTTTCAACGTTTTTTATTTACTTTTGGGACAGAGAGAGACAGAGCATGAACGGGGGAGGGGCAGAGAGAGAGGGAGACACAGAATCGAAACAGGCTCCAGGCTCTGAGCCATCAGCCCAGAGCCTGACGCGGGGCTCGAACTCACGGACCGCGAGATCGTGACCTGGCTGAAGTCGGACGCTTAACCGACTGCGCCACCCAGGCGCCCCAAAACTCAAAAATTTTAAAGTAAAAATGTTAAGAATTCATAGTCAAGGTTTGATCAATGTTTTTTCCTAAATTCAATAAGGTCAATTACACTGAAACTATACTGTCTACTATGACAGCCACTAGCTACATGTGGCTATTAAACCTTTTAAAATGTACGTAGTCCAACTTGAGACTATAGCATAATGTATGAACTTGTTGCATTACTATGCTCTACATTTGAAACTAATGTAATATTGTGTGTCAAATATACTAAAATTAAAAAACAATAATGATAGGGGCGCCTAGGTGGCGCAGTCGGTTAAGCGTCCGACTTCAGCCAGGTCACGATCTCGCGGTCCGTGAGTTCGAGCCCCGCGTCAGGCTCTGGGCTGATGGCTCAGAGCCTGGAGCCTGTTTCCGATTCTGTGTCTCCCTCTTTCTCTGCCCCTCCCCCGTTCATGCTCTGTCTCTCTCTGTCCCAAAAATAAATAAACATTGAAAAAAAAATTAAAAAAAAAAAACAATAATGATAAAAAAAGAAAAAAATAAAAAGAAATATGGGTAGTCCAAATTCATATGGCCTGTAAGTATAAAGTACATAACCAGATTTTGAAGTTTTAATATAAAAAAAGAATGTAAAATATATTACTAATTTTTATATTGATTATATGTAGAAATGATATAATTTAGATATACCAGGTTAAATAAAATATATTATTAAAATTAATTTCACCAGTTTCTTTTTGTTTCTTAATGTGACTACTGGAAATTTTAAAATTACGTATGTGGCTTTCATTATATTTCTCTTGGATAGCTCTGCATCATCAATAAATATCTAGGTTTTACTGATAAATAGTTCATATATTATCAAGGAATAAGTTAACATTATAAAAACTGCTTGCATTATCATGAGTCAATGTCTGTACTAAAGAAGAAAAGATGTGTAAAAATATACCAAATGCAGAAATCAGCTCTAGTTAGCTTTAAATATGTATTTTTCCTCAGTAGACTTACATTTTTAGTTTGGTTAATAATGAAACTAGTTTATATTCCTTGAACACATGCGAACTGATATGAGAGAAATATGGCCCAGAAGCATGGCAGAAAAAAAAATTAGCCTTCATCTTGTTCAATCCGCATATACATGTGAGTTGACTTAAAAACAAATACTGACATATAACACCATCAGATACTCTGAAAATACAGACTAGGCTATAACTTAAAGATTTCCACAATTTAATATGAATGCAACAAAAGATATTTTTACTTTATACCTTTGCTCCATCTGAAATATTGTCCCAGTTTCCACCACTCAAAGAGAACTTGCCATTGCCTATACGTAGCAGTATCTCTTCAGGAGTATCATTGGGGCCATTAGCAAATGGAGTGTAGCTATTAATAAAATAGATTTGAATAGACATGAGGGCCTAATATACAAAATTAATCTAATTGAAAGCGATGAATATAAGACAACATGCAAATACTTACTATAGCAAATTAAAAGTATTATCTAATATTTCCCTTTACCTTTCATATCAAGTTTTATATTTGAAACAATGAACTTAATCTTCATGGATTATTTAATAAAATGGGGAGTCTTGCTTACATAAATATTTTTTCCTTTGATCAGTTAATCAAATTAAAATAAAATAAAGATGGCTTTTCGTGTGAAGCTATAGGCTTAAAATTAGACCAAAATAAAACATGCAAAGTTTGTATTCTCAGGCATAAGTTAGCAACACAAATATACTTACTATGAAGAAATTGTTAACTGTATAAATTGAGAATGTATTGAGTGATTGGTTCAAATTTATTCACTAACAAATTAACAGAATTATCCAGGGAAACAGGTTAACAATATTTTTAATTAATGTCCATAAACAATGCGTTAAATATTTATATCAATGTAACTAAAAACTCTATAGTCAATAAAATTATTATGTTGATCAATATTCATGGACAGGAAGACAAATACATTGTTTAATGTTTAAGTAGCTTAAAATTAATATAGAATAACAAAGTGATCAGTTTGTATCATTATAACAGGTGAAACTGAAAATGGTATTCAAATTTGGGAATAAAGACTTATGGTTAAGAAGTATGAGGAAGATATCTTGATATGCTTATGTCTTAATTCTCTCTTGTAGCAATTAGGTAGAGATAACACTAAATATATATACATACACTCACACACAAATTCATTTTCTGTTAGTCATAAAGTAAATATTTGAAAGCAGCAATCTAGAAATGGTATCCCCCATGGTTTGAAACCAGTAGCCCTAATTGCAGTTCATATGCAAATTTTTCACTACTGTTATCCTTAGTACTTGCTCTGGTCTATAACTAAATGTTTTGCATTAGTATGTAATATATCTAAAAGTATGTGGAATATGCTGATAAGCAATTACCATCAATCCAATAAATAATGCAAAGTCATCATATTCATAACTTATATTTATAAAGCTCCTGTTATGTCAAACATATTTAAATTTTACTAAATTCTTTCTTTAAAAGTCACACCTAAGTACATTATATAATTACATTATAATTCTTCAAATTCCATTCTATGCAATATACTGCTAAACCTAGCCTTTTTTCTACAGCCATAAATTTTTATTCCTAAATAAAAGTGCTACTAATTATTAGGAGTCCAACAGCAATTATATTATTTATAAATTACCAACATTAATATATTCAATTATTAAATTTGTTTAGTATTTATCTGTTTAAGGGAAAGCAGCTATGTGTTTCTGTAGTTGAGTATTCTGTTACTATTCATATTTTTTATAAAGTATGATCTTACTTAATCTCTATCATCAGAAGAGCCAGAATTCAAGTACTTTCAAAAAATTAACTCAATATCAAGAAACTCAGTGGGCAAGTACCCATTGAAAAAGAAATTATTATGTTCAAGTAAACATTAAAAAATCAATGCACTGAATGTATAATATCAAAATAAAAATACATGTTTTAATTTTAAAAGTTTTAGTTCTAGTTGAAATTCTTTTAATTATATACCTGAAGAGTACCACACTAAACACTTCATTTTTTTACCTTTTATAAATAAACAATATATCTTATTTTAAAATGTTGGTACTATTTTATTTAAGGCTATTTTCATCTGTCCATTTCTTTCCAGATGAAAATATACAGATGAAATTCAAATTATGATGTGTATTATTTTGAATATATGTTTCTTACCCAGCCAGCATGGTGTAAAAAAGGACACCTAGGCTCCAAATATCACAAGCAGCGTCATAGCCCTGTTGCATAAGAACCTGAAGAAGAAATATATATTATCTGGTATCATTCAGTATAAACTCAGTTTTCTCATCTGAAAGACCATTGTTGTACTTCCAATAATCTCACAAATGTTCACAATTTAAAAACTTACATCATGTAAATCTTTTCAAAACTAGATTCATTTAATATTAAAGGCAGAGCCTTTGCAATTAGCAAGCATTGAATAACTGGCTAAAAATAAGGTGATTAAGTAACATGGGTCATAAAAGAAACAACTTTGAATATATGATCCCTGACTCCAATAAACTTTCACTCCTACTCTTAGAAAAACCAGACATAGACATCAAAATTTAAGATTAATGCATACAAAGAGCCTAATATGTACTATATACAGTACTGTCTTTTCATCCTGACACTGACTATGAGGTACATATTATTATTTCAATGTTGAATATGAAGAAACTAAGGCAAATGTCACATAATTTGCCCAATATCAAAAAAACTAGTAAGTAGTGTAGTAGGTATTCTTATTCTAGAGCTTGTGTTTTTAGTGTCTATGATAATTGCCTCCTTACCATGCAAAAGATGGTAAGATGATATATACATTTATGAAAGCAAAATGAATTTATATCTTACATTCAAGGCTTATGTATTGGAAACAGTGGAATATTTATGGATCACAAAAACACATTTGACAAAATTCTGAATGGCTTAATTAATTTTTCATGCAGTAATTTAGGTAGATGATTTTTGTTCTTGGGGCTAGTGTTAATAACATCAAACAATATATTTATTATATATTCATGTGAGGTTTCTATATGAAGTTAGTAGAGTTTTGTTGAAAATAGATGAAATGGATTGTAAGACAAATATTTTTAAAAGTCTATACCAACCAAAGCAATCTACACATTCAGTTCAATCCCTATCACAATACCACCAGCACTTTTCACAGAGCTAGAAGAAACAATCCTAAAATTTGTATGGAACCACAAATACCTCAAATAGCTAAAGAAACCTTGAAAAGGAAAAGCAAAGCTGGAAGCATCACAATTCTGGACTTCAAGTCATATTACAAAGCTGTAGTCATGAAGACAGTATGGTACTGGCAAAAAAAAAAAAAAAAAAAAAAAAAAAAAGACACACAGATCATTAGGATAAAATAGAAAAACCCAGAAATGAACCCACAACTCTATGGTCAATTTATCTTCGTCAAAGGAGGAAAGAATATCCAATGAGAAAAAGGTGTCTTCAACAAATGGTGTTGGGAAAACTGGAAAGTAACATGCAAAGGAATGAAACTGGACCACTTTCTTACACTATACACAAAAATAAATGCAGAATGGATTAAAGACCAAAACAAAAATGGATTAAAGACCTAATGAGAGACAGGAAGCCATTAAAATCCTAGATGAGAACTGAAGCAGTAACCTCTTTGACATTGGCCTTAGCAACTTCTTTCTAGATGTGTCTCCTGAGGCAAGGGAAACAAAAGCAGAAATAAACTATTGGGACCACATCAAAATAAAAATATTCTGTATAGCAAAGGAAAATAGTCAACAAAACTGAAAGGCAACCTTCTGATGGGAGAAGATATTTGGAAATGACATATCTGATAAAGTGTTAGTGTAAAACCGCTATAAAAAACTTATAAAACTCAACATCCAAAAACAGTTACAAATAATAATCCAGTTAAGATATGGGCAGAAGACATGAATAGACATTTTTCCAAAGAAGACATCCAGATCACTAACAGACACATGAAAAGATGCTCAACATCACTCACCATCAGGGAAATACAAATCAAACTACAATGAGACATTACCTGATACTGGTCATATTGGCTAAAATTAACAACACAGGAAACAGCAGGTTTTGGTGAAGATGCAGAGAAAAGGGAACCCTCTGACACCTTTGGTGGGAATGCAAACTGGTACAGCAACTGTGGAAAACAGTATGGAGGTTTCTCAAAAAGGTAAAAATAGAACTACCTTATGATCCACACTGCACTATTAGGTATTTGCTCAAAGGATAAAAAATACTAATTCAAAGGGATACATGCACCCCAATGTTTATAGCTGCAATATCTCCAATAGCCAAATTATGGAAACAGCTCACGTGCCCATCAACTGATGAATAGACAAAAAAGTTGTGGTATATATACACAATGGTATATTGCTAAGCCATCAAAAAGAATGAAATCTTGCCACTTGCAAGGTAGAGAGTATTATGTTAGGCAAAATAAGTCAGTCAGAGAAAGACAAATACCATGTGATTTCACTCATATGTGGAATTTAAGAAACAAAACAAAGGATCAAAGGTGAAAAAAAAAAAAAAAAGACACAGAGAGGCAAACCAAGCAACAGACTCTTAAGTATAGAGAACAAACTGATGATTACCAGAGGGGTGGGTGGGGTGCTGGATAAAATAGATGGTGGGGATTAAGCAGTGCACTTGTGAAAAGCAATGGGTGTTGTATGTAAGGGTTGAATCACTAAATTGCACACCTGAAGATAATATTGCACTGTATGTTAACTAACCAGAATTTAAATAAAAACTTAAAAATATAAAAAAATAAACCCATTGCTAATGCTTTTAGGCATAAAAACAGAATAAAAATACTATTAATACCTTAACACTGGGGAGTGCATAGCCAGCAGCATGAACATTTCACTTATAAAAGGTTAAAAATATTAATGTTTGGTTTTGACAATTGTCATACATAACTAATGAGTATCTAACTTAAACTTCAAGATATAATTTTTTCTTAGTCGAAATGTACTTACAAGAACAAGCATATGTGTAAACTTGAGAAGGTAAAGAGTTTATCAAAATACCTGTGTAATTGGCTTACCTACATAACACAAGTAGGGAACACAAAGGCTAATAAATAATGAGATATAGCTAAACCACTCACATCACACAACTTCCCTCCAATTTACTATATGTTCCTTTAACTCAGGATCATTTTTAGACCTCAGTATACACTAAATATTAGTAGGAAATTATAAGTTGTTTGCTTTTATAAAAAATAAAATGTTTTGGGGGATATATTATTTTTTTTGCAACATAGTTACAGTAGAAAAGCATCTCTAAGTAAACCTTAAGAGGTTGGTCAGGTTGATACATATCAAAAAGTGAATGCATATTTTTCTTTACTGTTAAGCCAAAATTGTACTCATTAGCATATCTTTTAGCAAACAAACATTCTATTTACTGTGATGAAATAGTGAATTTATACCCCCATAAATGCTATTATTTATTCAAATATCTGCACGGATACTTGAATCTTTCTGATTCTAGTTTAAAAGAGAATGTATTTCATATACTTTATTGCTAATTTTTGAAAAGGTCTGAAATTTAGAAACTAATCCTACACAAACCCTCTGTATTTCATTCATAAAATTGTATAAATATTAATTTATTGCTTAGCAGAAGCTTCAGCATTTTATAATAAAACTTTTCAAAGTATTTTGAGGGGAGCCTGGGTGGCTCAGTTGGTTGAGCATCCGACTCTTGAATTCAGCTCAGGTCATGGTCCCAGAGTCATGGGACCAAGCCCAACAGGCTCTGTGTTGAACACTGGGTGTGGAGCCTAAGATTCCCTCTCTTCCTCTCTCTTTGCCCCTTCCCCACTAATGTGCTCGCGTGTGTGTGAGTGCACATGCTCTCTCTCTCTCTCTCTCTCTCTCAAAAATAAAAAAAAGTATTTTGAAAATACAAATACTACCCAAAGATAGTTCAAGCACTAGTTATGGAGAAATGGTTTTCAGACGACCACTTGAAAACCTTCACTATTACAATGATGAGAATGTCATAATACAATGGCAGTCTGTGAAGATAAAAAGCATAAATGGGCTGTATTCTACTTTGTGGACCTGAAGTCATTTAAAAATGTTTACCTCCCGACTAACCTGAAAATATTTACCTAATCATTAATCTAAGCACAAACATACTCTGTATTTTTCCTTTCAATGTCTGACTTTAAAATGTTCATTTGGGACACACTTAGCCCTAACCTTTTCCCAGTGAGAAGTTTCCATCATACCAGATCCACAAGATTAAGTCAATATTAAAAATTCAGCCATTAAAATGGTTATTCTATACCCTTCTGTTGTCTACTGCATAAATGATAGAATATTTATGATGAATATATATCCTATATTTAACAGAAAAGCCCAAATCTCAAATATTCTACCTTCTTATCCTTACAAAAGCCTTAAATATTCTAGAAAGGCTAATTTTTCAATGTGTAAGCTATATTTCTTAAACCTAGGGGCAGTGCAATAACCCCTTTGTGGATCATGTATTTGTTCTGATATTTATTTTTGGAAATACAGTTTCTATATATTGTAATGTGATAAAAATTTGTACATTCATTATTCTATGTACTTAATTGAATAGAGATTAAATTACATTTCCTGGATATGTACATAATTTTTATATGGCAAACCTCTTATCATAAAAACTTTATAAATCAGATGTTATGTTTTCTTTTCAACATCAACATCTTAAAGGAAGAAAATACATTTTTAATACGGGAATTTTTAATTATTAATAAGTTATTTTTTATTTTCTATATTTTTATTTTTATTATTAAATATACTATTTCATACCTGAAACCAATATAACACTGTATGCAAATTTTACTTCAATAAAAATATATATACTTTTTAAAATATAATTTATTGTAAAATTGGTTTCCATACAATACCCAGTGCTCATCCCAACAAGTACCCTCCTCCCTGCCCATCACCGACTTTCCCCTCTCCCCCCACCTCCCATCTACCCTTAGTTTGTTCTCAGTCCTTAAGAGTCTCTTATGGTTTGCCTCCCTCCCTCTCCGAAACTTTTTGTTTTTGTTTTTTCCCTCTTCCCCTCTCCCGTGGTCTTCTGTTACGTTTCTCAAGATCCCCATATGAGTGAAAACATATGGTATCTGTCTTTCTTTGCCTGGCTTATTTCACTTAGCATAATACCCTCCAGATCCATCCACTTTGCTACAAATGGCAAGATTTCATTCTTTCTCATTGTCAAGTAGTATTCCATTGCATACATAAACCATATCTTCTTTATCCATTCATCAGTTGATGGACATTTAGGCTCTTTCCATAGTTTGGCTATTGTTGAAAGTGCTGCTATAAACATTGGGGTACAAGTGCCCCTACGAATCAGCACTCCTGTAACTTTTGGGTAGATTCCTAGCAGTACTATTGCTGGGTCATAGGGTAGATCTATTTTTAATTTTTTGAGGAACCTCCACACTGTTTTCCAGAGTGGCAGCACCAATTTGCATTCCCACCAACAGTGCAAGAGGGTTCCCGTTTCTCCACATGCTCACCAGTATCTATAGTCTCCTGATTTGTTCATTTTGGTCACTCTGACTGGCGTGAGGTGATATCTGAGTGTGGTTTTGATTTGTTTTTCCCTGATGAGGAGCGACGTTGAGCATCTTTTCATATGCCTGTTGTCCATCTGGATGTCTTCTTTAGAGAAGTGTCTATTCATGTTTTCTGCCCATTTCTTCACTGGGTTATTTGTTTTTTGGGTGTGGAGTTTGGTGAGCTCTTTATAGATTTTGGATACTAGCTCTTTGTCTGATATTTCATTTGCAAATATATTTTCCCATACCGTTGGTTGCCTTTCAGTTTTGTTGATTGTTTCCCTTGCAGTGCAGAAGCTTTTTATCTTCATGAAGTCCCAATAGTTCATTTTTGCTTGAATTCCCTTGCCTTTGGAGATGTGTCTAGCAATAAATTGCTGCGGCTGAGGTCAATGAGGTTGTTGCCTGCTTTCTCCTCTAGGGTTTTAATGGTTTCCTGTCTCACATTCAGGTCTTTCATCCATTTTGAGTTTACTTTTTTGTATCATGTAAGAATGTGGTCTAGTTTCATTCTTCTGCATGTTGCTGTCCAGTTCTCCCAGCACGATTTGTTAAAGAGGCTGTCTTTTTTCCGTTGGATACTCTTTCTTGCTTTGTCAAAGATCAGTTGGCCATACATTTCTGGGTCGAGTTCTGTGTTTTCTATTCTATTCCATTGGTCTATGTGTTTGCTTTTTTGACAGTACCATACTGTCTTGATGATTACAGCTTTATAGTAGAGGCTAAAGTCTCAGATTGTGATGCCTCCTGCTTTGGTCTTCTTCACTATCACTTTGGCTATTCAGGGTCTTTTGCGGTTCCATACAAATTTTAGGATTGCTTGTTCTAGCTTTGCAAAGATTGCTGGTACAATTTTGATTGGGATTGCATTGAATGTGTAGATAGCTTTGTGTAGTATTGGCATTTTAACAGTATTTAGTCTTCCAATCCATGAGCATGGAATGCTTTTCCATTTCTTTGTATCTTCTCCAATTGCTTTCATAAGCTTTCCATAGTTTTCAGCATACATATATTTTACATCTTTGGTTAGGTTTATTCCTAGGTATTTTATGATTCTTGGTGCAATTGTGAATGGGATCTGTTCCTTTATTTTTCTTTCTGTTGCTTCATTATTGGTGTATAAAAATGCAACCGATTTCTGTACATTAATTTTGCACCCTGCAACTTTGCTGAATTCATGTATCAGTTCTATCAGACTTTTGGTTGAGTCTTTCGGGTTTTCCATGTATGATATCATGTCATCTGCAAAAAGTGAGAGCTTAACTTTATCTTTGCCAATTTTTATGCCTTTTATTTCATTTTGTTGTCTGATTGCTGATGCTAGGACTTCCAATAATATGTTAGACAACAGCGGTGAGAGTCAACATCCCTGTCGTGTTCCTGATCTCAGGGGAAAGCTCTCAGTTTTTCCCCACTGAGGATGATATTAGCTGTGGGCTTTTCATAAATGGCCTTTATGATGTTTAAGTATGTTCCTTCTATCCAGACTTTCTTGAGGGTTTTCATCAAGAAATGATGTTGTATTTTGTCAAATGTTTTTCTGCATCTATTGACAGGACTAGAAGAAGAACAGCAAAGTCACCCCAATCCAACAGAAGAAGAGAAATATGAAGATCAGAGCAGAAATAAACAATCCAAAAAAGCAGTAGAACATATCAGTGAAACCAAGAGTTGGTTTTTGGAAAAAAAAATTGGTAAACTTCTAGCCATGCTTCTCAAAAAGAAGAGAGAAATGACCCAAGTAGATAAAATCACGAAGGAAAATTGATTTATTATAACCAATCCCTCAGAAACACAAGCAATTATCAGGGAATACTATGAAAATTATATGCCAACAAACTGGACAACCTGGAAGACATGGACAAATTCCTAAACACCCACCCACTACCAAAACTCAAATGGGAAGAAATGGAAAATTTGAAGAGACCCATAACTAGTGAAGAGATTGAATGAGATGTCAAAAATCTCCCAACAAATTACAGTCCTGGACCAAATGGCTTCCCTGGTGAATTCTACCAGAAATTTAAAGCAGAGTTAATACCTATCCTTCTTAAGTTGTTCCAGAAAATGGAAAGGGAAGGAAAACTTCTGGATTCATTCTATGAACCTAGCATTAACTTTGATTCCCAAACCAGACAGAGACCCAGCAAAAAAAGACAACCAGAGGCCAATATCCTTGATGAATATGGATGCCAGAATTCTTAACAAGATAACTAGCAAATTGAATTCAACAGCATATAAAATGTTTTATTCACCATGATCAAGTGGGATTCATTCTTGGGCTGCAGGGCTGGTTCAATATTTTCAAATCAACCAATGTGAAAAATCACATCAATAAAAGAAAAGAAAAAATATTTTTCTAATAGCTACATTAAAATACAGATTTATTGATATTCATACACAAATGTCTTGCTATATGTGATGTGAAATATTATCCTGAAAGTTATAGTATTTGATATAAAAAAAAAACAGAAAACATGCACATGAGATGAGATAAGAATTCATCCTCAAATTATTTTACTCTTCTTCTCTGACTTGAAACATTAAATTTTTCCAACATCTGACTTGAAACATTCAATTTTTTAACATGAAGATTTTTGTGTATTCTGATTTATGTTGTATATGTGATAAATCATATGGGTTATCATTATTCATAGCATATAAGAACAGTTCCTAATTTATAAACAATAATATGTATATGGCCAATTCCATCCCTGATTTATTTTTTATCAATCATAATTACAGTCCTGTTGAGGTTGCTACTGTCAAAGCTCCTGTCCCCAGTATCAGAAGTGACTGTTGGAAGTTGGTAAAAATGAAGCCTATACCCCTTTGCCTCCTCAGACTCACCTTTCCCGACTCTTCCCTCTAAGATCTACAAATGAGTATTATGTGCCAAGAAAAATCCCACTGCTTATAAAAATCCCTGTGAAGCTGTTTGCTCCAGGAATTATATCTTAAAGACAATCATGGGTGGTACTGCCCTTATAAGTTATATATAATGTTAAATATAAATTACCTCTTCTTCAGCACAAACTAAAATATCTGCAAATTTATCCTGGTTTTATTACTATGGGAATGTTGGGTCTTGAAAAATTTATTTAAGTACTTTGAGCCTCAATTACTTCATTTAGAATATTTAATGTTGAAGATGGGGTTATCTCTATTCTCCACCCAGCTCTACAAGGGTATGATTCTGATGCTAGTACATAACACAAGAGAATACAATAGTCTGATTATTATACATTCAGGCTAGTTTCAGATGTGAGTTACTAGTTTGAATATTTATATTAAGGGTTATGAGAATTTGTGGATTTAAACAGCTTTATAGTTGGGAAAAGATAACTCAGTTTTTACCTATCAACTATAACACATACATGACATTATATATATTCAACTAAAAGAAAAGAACAAAAGGCTAATACTAAAGTTTTAAAGAATACCTCAGGTGCTACAAAGTTTGCAGTGTAGCATGGAGTTAAAAGAAGTCCATTTTCTCCACGAAGCTGTTTTGCAAACCCAAAATCACAGATCCTAATGGAGTCTGCATTGGCCGATTCATCCATATATAAAATATTACTAGGTTTAAGATCACGATGAACAACCTTGAACATAAAAGAAAAAATATATTTCTATAGTGAACTATATATATCTATGAAATAACACATTTTGAGTTAACATATTTCCAGGAAAAATAACTTTCTAAATTATAAAAATTTGAAAATGACACTCTCTCCAGTGTTGGTAGCCTTGACAGGCTGAAGTATGTTCCAATTTCTATTCAAGCCACAAGGTTCTTTAAACATTTCCAATCTCAAATATTAAAACTCAATTCTCAGTTCTATTTCTGGAAATAAGGGACTAAGACCCTACTCAATGCTCTCCTCCCCACAATAAACAACTCTAAAGCTTGAACAAAATTGAAAAATCAACTACATGAAGATACTGGAGAATGGACAGAAGCAGACAGACTCTGATGGAATGTGTACACTTTGTTAAGGAGGGAAAATGGGGAGCTGTAAGTAAGGCTCCCATATCTGTGGCTTTTAGCCTAGGATTAAGTGCAGTTCTTATGTCCCCCAGTGATGGTGAAAACACATGTGGAAAAGCCCAGTCTTTCTGGCATGGAGGAACATAAAAGAGATGCTAAAAAACAGTGAATGCTTGTGAGGAATTCTGTACAAAAAAGAGCCAAAACTGACTCCTGAGTTAAAAATGTATAGAAGAGGCTCAATGTAATTCATACAAAGACAAAAGATAACAGAGTCCAGAGTTGCTACCCAAAAAGCAAAGAGTTTTCAGTGCAAACACTGCCATGAAAATTATCCACCAAAAAAATAATAATAATCATTGAAGAAAAATATCATTACAAAAAATCTTCATAATATTCAAATATGCAGTATATAATCCAAAATTATCTAATTAACAAAGAACCAAGTAAATGGAACACAGTTTCAGGAAAAGAGAGTATCAATCAATTCCAAGCTCAAGATGAACCATATTGGACCTAACAGATGATTTTAAAGTGGCTGTTGTTATATGTGACATGATGAAGCTGCTAACTAATGCCATGGTATTAATCAAATTGCAGTACATAAATGTATCAAATCAATATGTTGTACACCTTAAACTTACATAATGTTATATGTCAATTATATCTCAATAAAATGAATTATTCAAACTTCACAAAACATTAAAAAATTAAAACATAAAATGGCTATTATAATTACATCAATGAAGTAAAACAAAAACATGCTTTCAATGAATGAAACTCTCAAGAAGAAAAACAGAAACAATGAGAACAAAATGAAATGCTAGAGATGGAAAATTTTCTAAACTTCCTTATGTGATGATTTTCTTACTAATACTATACACTTAATTTATTCTAGTCCTATATTTGATCAGCATTTCACTACACTAAAAGTTACTTAAAGATAAGGACCAAGTCTTACTCATGCTTGAATCTGCAATACCTTTTACAATGCCTGGCATGAAGAAATGTTCAATACATGCCTGTCAAGTTATTTAATTGATGTAAGAACCTGAAGGTTTCTAAAATAAAAGGGAGGAGTGATCAGGATGGTGGAGAAGTAGGGGGACCCTGGCCTTTCATTGTCCCTCAAACACAGCTGTAATGAGGTCAGATTACTTGGAGTACCCAAGAAATAGATCTGCAGAGTGGCAGAAGTATCTCCATAGTTGGAAGGAGACAGCTTGGCAAATGCAAGATGCATGGAGGTGATTTGGGGGACAGAAAAAATAAGAGTCGTAGAGGGGAGGAAACCCATTCTGGAGAGACAAAGTGGAGAGACAGAGAGAAGGGTTGAGAAAGTGTGGCATCGCATTAGCACAAGAGGAAAATCTCTCTGGACCATGGATTGGGAAGCAAGAAGTAATGAGTGTCCCAGTTCGGTTTTGCAAACAGCTTTTGGAGTTCAAACTCTGAGGTTTTGGAAGTATGTGACTTTCTCCAGAGTGGAGCCATGGCTCATGGTCCTGGGGAGGAAGGATCTGGCCCTGGAGTGCATAGTATGTAGATATTTATGGTGTGCACTGGGAAAGAACAGTCCCCTTCCTGGAGTACTTTTGGAAGAAGGTTTGTTGCCTCCTCAAGGACAAAAGACCCTGCAGGTGCCAGCCAAAAGCCTTTTATCAGCAGGGTGGAGAGGCTCTACTCCAGAGAACGGGAGCAGATCCACACCTTGCCAGGTCTTTAAGAGTTTGGGTTTTGAATCCCAGCCATGAACCAAGGAGAGGCACGGGATAGTTGTGGCACAGGGAAAACTTACTGCCATCGCTATTCTGTGAAGGCTTCCTGTATAGTGAGGGTTACGATACCCGCTCTGGAGACAAGAGATTGGTGTGGTGCCATTTTCCCCACCAAAACCAACATGGTGAGATTTCGGAGAGCAAAACAGTGACCCTTAGTGGAGGCGGGCCCCAATTTCACCAAACCCTTCACCTCTGTGCCTAGTAACTGCTTATTTACTGGGGCAAGACTGATTCCAAGCCAGTGCAGCTGGCCTCTTTTCCAGACCAGCATAGCTAACACCTTTCAGGCACCAAGAGATAACTCTTTTTCTTTCTTTTTTCCTCCTTCTTTTTTTCTTTTGTAATCAGGCTCATAATACCTGATTTTTTTTTTTTTTTTTGCCATTTCATCTTCTATTTTTCCTTGGATCAGACTTTTTTATTCTTTTCTTTTTCCTACTTTTCTCTTTCCTTCTACTTTTTTCTTTCTTTTTCCTTGGAATCAGCTTTATAGTTTTTTTGATTCTCTGTTTGTTTTGTGTGTGTGTGTGTGTTCCCTTTCTTTTTCTTTTCTTTTTTTTTTTTTTAATTTTTTTTAACGTTTTATTTATTTTTGAGACAGAGAGAGACACAGCATGAACGGGGGAGGGGCAGAGAGAGAGGGAGACACAGAATCGGAAACAGGCTCCAGGCTCCGAGCCATCAGCCCAGAGCCCGACGCGGGGCTCGAACTCACGGACCGCGAGATCGTGACCTGGCTGAAGTCGGACGCTTAACCGACTGCGCCACCCAGGCGCCCCTGTTTTCTTTTTTTTAACGTTTATTTATTTTTGAGACAGAGAGAGACAGAGCATGAACGGAGGAGGGCCAGAGAGAGAGGGAGACACAGAATCTGAAACAGGCTCCAGGCTCTGAGCCATCAGCACAGAGGCCGACGCGGGGCTTGAACTCACGAACCGCGAGATCATACCTGAGCCGAAGTCGGACGCTTAACCGAATGAGCCACCCAGGCGCCCCTTTTTTTCTTTTTTTATGGGATCAAGCTACTGACACCTTTTTTTCCTCCCACAGTTCCTTCAACAAACAAATCAAAGCACACCTGGGTAAAGGCCCAACACTCCACTACTGCAAGGCAGGAGGATCTCTGCAGAGGACTGACTAGTGGGAAAAAACAGCAAAAACGAAACAGCAGAGTGCCAACATTGTAAACCAGAAACACTTGCTGAAATGCCAGGCCCTCGACAGTGTGTGACCAATTTTTCATTTAGTAGTACTGTCAGGTGCAGGAAACATAACAAGCTTTTAAAACACACAAAAACAGAAACTTAGCCAAAATGAGAGGATGGAGGAATTCTCTCCAAAAGAAAGGTCAAGAAGAAATCACAGCCAGGACTTGCTCAAAACACATATAAACAATATATATGAAGAAGAATTTAGAATAACAATCATAAGACTGCTAGTTGAGCTTGAAAAAAGCATAATACACACAAGAGAGACCCTTGCTGTGGATCACAGACTTAAGAACTAGTCAGGATGAATTTTAAAATGCTATAGGTGAGATGCAAAAGAAACTAGATACAGTGACAGTGAGGATAAAAGAAGCAGGGGAGACAATAGGTGAAATAGAAGATAAAATTATGGAAAATAATGAAGTTGAAAAGAATAAGGAAAAAAAATTACTAGATCATGAGGGGAGAATTATAGAACTAAGTGATTCCATGAAACAAAACAATACCCATAACATAGGAGTCTCAGAAGAAGAAGAGCACGAAACAGGGACAAAAGTTTTATAGGAAAAAATTATAGCTGAGAACTTCCCAATCTGGGGAAGGAAACAGGCATTCAAGTCCAAGAGTTACAGAGAACTCCCTTCAAGATCAACAAAAACAGGTCAACATCACAACATATCATAGTTAAACTTGCAAAATACAAGGATAAAGAGAAAATTCTGAAAGCAGCTAGGAACAAATGGCCCCTAACCTACAAGGGTAGACACATAAGGTTAGCAGTAGACTTGTCCACCAAAACTTGGCATGCCAGAAGGGAGTGGCAGGAAATATTCAATATGCTGAATAAGAAAAATATGGAGCCAAGAATCATTGATCCAACAAGGCTATCATTCAGAATAGAAGGAGAGATAAAGAATTTCCCAGACAAAAAAAAAAAATATGAGAGTTCATGACTACTAAAGCAACCCTTCAAGAAATTTTAAGGAGGACTCTTTGAGGAAAAAAAAAAAAAAAAAAAAAAAGACCAAAGCAGCAAAGACTACAAAGGGCCAGACAACATCACCAGAAACATGAAATCTAAAGATAACACAAAAACACTAAATTCATATATTTCAATAATCACTCTGAATGTAAATGGACTAAATGCTCCAATCAAAAGGTATAGGGTATCAGAACAGATAAAAAAAAAAAAACAAGATACATCTATATACTGCTGTGAAGGAACTCAGTTTATACCTGAGGACACCTGCAGAGTGAAAGTGAGGGGATGGAGAACCATCTATCATGCTAATGTATGTCAAAGGAAAGCCGAAGTAGCCACACTTATATCATACAAACTAGATTTTATTTATTTGTTTATTTATTTATTTATTTACAATTTTTTAATGCTTATTTATTTTTGAGAGAGAGACAGAGTGTGAGTGGGGGAGGAGCATAGAGAGACACGCAAAATCCGAAGCAGGTTCCAGGCTCTAAGATGTCAGCACAGAGCCCAATGCAGTGCTCAAACTCATGAACCGCAAGGTCATGACCTGAGCCGAAGTCGCACACTTACTGACTGAGCCACCCAGGTTACCATACAATATATTTTAAAGCAAAGACTGTAGCAAGAAGTTAAGATGAGC